TCCCCAGCCAGCAAAGCTGGCTGGGGAATTCTGGGAGTCGAAGTCCGCCAGGCTTCAAGGGCCCAAGGTTGGAGATCCCTGGTCTATACCACCAGCATTTGGAAGTGAAATTTGTGGTATGGAAGCAAATTTATCAGCCAAATGAAAACACAGGATAAGGTTATGGTTCTCTGAGTGTCTTCCCTTTCTGAATTGCAGCCCCTGTTAAGGAGTTGTTGATTTTTTTAATATGTTGGAACATATGCACTAGGATACCGAGGGAAAGCATTGGTTGAATTTTGGTTCATCAGATAGATGCTGTTCCTCCAGACAAGTAAATATGCTACAGATTTAAGCAATCACATGGACCAAGGGAGAGGAAAACTTTCCAGGGGACACATAGAACTGGAGGAAACAGGAACGGAAAATAAAAAGAAATCAGCAGTGAATGAGTTTTGTTGAAAAATAAATTTATTTAAAGGGCAGGATCCCGGAGAGTTTCATCATAAAAATAAACAGGATCCAAACCCCAGTGCAGAGGTAACTAGAGAGGGACAGATCCCTATCACCTCTGGCTCAGGGACCAAGACCAGTTCAACAAGGAAGAGAAACAGGGAAAATAAATAATTTCCCAGACCATCTTGTAGGACTTCCTCCATGGGAAAAGAATCCCAACAAAATATCTACTTCAACCAAAAATGTTAAATCCCTGGATTTTTGCCCTGTTCTTTTCACATTATCTCACCAATTCCCTGCTACACTTGACACTCTTAGCAACTCAAAGTGCCGCTGAGAAAGAAAGAAATTCTGAATATCAAGACTCCACATGTTCAAGTGAGAAAGGCAAAAAAGACACTTCTGGTTTTGTAGTACGTGTTAGGTACACTCTCTTGCTATAAATTAAATATTCTTGGAATTGGCCATGCAAAATATCCCATTCAGAGCCTAGGAGGGAACCATCATTTTCCCCAGACATTCTCCCAATTAAATTTGGAGGCTACAGTCGTATTTCTGTGGTCAAACATAAGCCCGAAAGATGTGGATCCACATTCCCATCGAAGCTTTGCAGAATGACAGATCAAGCTCTTAGCCCTTTTCATCAAGAATGGCCAGGCCGAATTAATGCAGGTTGGCTCCAGCTTTATTTTATTCAAGGCCCATGAGGGTCGTCCTATCTTCTTAGTCCCACCTTTTCAAAATCATCTAAAAGCAGCCTCTTGAAAATATAAGACCAAATGCAAGCGGAAAGACTTGCAGAACGTAGACAGCATGTGAATTGGAATGAAATAAAGTCATGGTGCTTTTTATAAACCCCAGAACTGAGCAATTTCTCCTGGATTGTACTCTTGTTGCACAGCAATGCTCCGCCATGTCCAATTCTCTAGCACCACCACTTTGATTCCATTAAAGAACTGGTACGGCTGACGTACCAGTTGCGCACTGCAGAAAAATACACTTTATAATGGGAGCAAAACCCAGTGTACAATCCAGGGAAAAAATGGCATCACCTGATTTTTTTTTTTTCATGAGGAAACACAAACCTTCATGGGTCTTTAAAATTAATGATACTGTGGTATTAGCTTTTTGGGATGAAAGTTCATTGACAATTAAACTTGGTGCCCCTAGTCCATGACAAATAATTAGATTTTATGGTGCTTTAAGGTCCCTGGTAGAGACTGGGGACTTTTATTTGTCAAGTGAAATGATTTGATCTATAATTTTGTTTTCACTTGATAATTTTATTGCAGAAACTTGGATCTTTGCTGGAAGAGGTCAGACTTCAGTCTCAAACAAGGGGATTGTTTTGAAATTCACTAGATACATATGAGTGAGTCTTGCCTTATTTTCCAAGTTCTTTTTCTACATGGTCTTAAGCGTGCAGGCTGGATGGCTATCTTTTAGGACGGTCATCCTGAACAGTATTGAATGAATACATGTCCTGTTAACAATTTCAGGGGAAGTAGAGCTCAACATCCTACTGGCAATGGCATCTGCTCATTCCTGCCTTTTGCACACTGTCAAAGAATTCCTACCTTTTTAAAAAATAAAATTAGTGGCAACTTTTCCTATTAAACCTACTCGTTTAGAAAAGTTGGCCAGCTGGCAACTAGAACTTCTGCAGCTTTTAGCCATTACGTAGAAATACGAATTTCTCACAGATAGCTTTTCCCTCTTCTATACCAAAAGCCACCTCCCTTTGAATGTCATCTTGTAAGAGGACAAAGTGCAGCATTTCATGGCTGTAAAAAAAAAATCTTGTCAGAGAAACACACTCAAACCAATTGTTTGAAAAGTGTGAGGAATGCTATGTATTGTGCATTTTAGGATTTTACTGGAATGGAAAGAAAATGTACTTTCATGCTCATCTGATCTAGAAGGACAACTCCTGACTTAAATTGGGGGAGTATTTTAAGGATACTGCTGCTTCTCTCTCATTAAATTATTTTCCCAAGCAGAAACAGTACACAGTTCATTAAAGTACTTCATCTTTTCACCATGAGGAAGCTATGAAAGGATTGACATCTACTGCCTTCACCCAGTTCAATTAAAAAATTTGGAAGCAAACCCATGGATTTCGGTGGACTTAAACATGTAAATCATGAAAGGTCCCCATTTAAGATTAATTGGTTAGAATATTGTGTATAGTATATAGTATTGAACCACAACTATTGTGGTTAGAATACTATCAACTTACAAGTATTTTTATTAATGTTACTTGAAAGACATTAAGCACTTTCAGAGTAAATTATCTAAATTATCTGTTTTCCTTTTTTTGAAGATAAAGGAATACATAGCCCTATGAATTCTGAAGAGTTACTTATGGAAGGAATATAAATATACCTATGTGTTGCATTATGAATATATAAATTATATATATACACACAAAGATATATAACAAATATATGTATGTATGTGTGTGTGTGTGTGTGTGTGTGTATACACACACACACACACACACACACATACACACATACATACATATATTTGTTATATATCTTTGTGTGTGTCTATGTGCTTCTCTCTCTCCCTCTCTCTCTGTGTTTGTGTATAAAATGTTTGCAATCTTGTTTAATAGTCCTTTTGCAATTACTCCTTGAACATGCCGCCATAGCAGGGATACCTTTGTTGTTTGTGTCAGGAATAATATATGGCTACAAAATATTGTCTTACTCTAGCACAAAGTTTCTGAAAGCTGCACAAGTTGAAGTGAGGAAAGAAGCCTAGGACCATAGTGCTACTGTTTGGCTCTGTGAGCCACACCCTCCTAAGCCCTATTAGGACTTTAAAACAATTAACCCTGAAGACCAAGCTTCAGGACAGAGAGTGCCAAAGCAGCCATTGGTCCTAAATAAGATACTTGTAAAGCTACTTTGCTGGGTGCTCTCAATAAAACTGGGCAAGCCCAATGGCACCTGCATGAGAAAAACAGAGGTTTAATGTGGAAAGCCAATGACTTAAGAAAGCAACCATACCCCAAAGGGTTTAAACATTTGCATCGGCTTCCACATGGCTTGACCATAGGTCAATAATGGCTTACATAACTTATTCATTGTTTGCATATGGTGTACTCAAAGTATAACCACATTTCACTTACAGTTTACAAGAAACAATGTTTGCAATTTTACTGATGGTTTACCCATGGCTTGCATGTAGGAAGGCTAAAATAAAACTGAAAGTTATTGTATGAAAGTATACTGCAGATCTATTACAATGCAAATACTTATTCTTGATGTACTAGTGGCATTACATAAATGTGCCACAAAATAACTGTTCATTTTTTACACATCAGCTTAAATGCTTTGTGCTCAGCCACAATAGTCTTCTTTTCCATCTGTTTTGCTGAATATGAGTACAGCATGCATGTGTGTATATGTATGTCTGTATGTATAGTGTATGTGTGTGTGTGTACTGCATATATATATATATATATATATACACACATACACACACACAGACACACACACACATACATACATATGTATATGCTTGCAATATACACATGCATGCTGTGCTCACAGTTTACTCTAAAGCACAATTTACTTATATACAAATTACATATGATTTACACATGATTTGAATGGTAACACCCATGAATTGTACCTGATTGTTTTGCAGATTGCTGTTTACACAAAGTGCCTAATTTATTAAATAAAACTGTAAACCACCTCTGATAAAGCACTTAGATTTCTCCCAGGAGGAGGCAATATGGAAGTGCAACAAAAATATAATCATCATTATTATTAATGCTACAGAATAGAATGATTAAAAATAAACCATATTTTCTGGCTATAAACATGTGTTTTTGAAGCCTTCCCAAATCCGGTATCTAAAATATTGATTAAATCTTGAATCTCCTACTCAGTTTCATCTCTTTCTTGCCAGAATAAATCCAGTTAGACTTGCTTAATTACCTATGAAATCAGATTCTATCCCATCACTTCAAAATTACAACAGAGCTCCATTGGGCATAAATGTAACATATCTTTTAAACTTACTTCTACACCAATCCCACAGAAAAGTTGGAGCAGGGAATGAATTAAAAGCAAGCTGGCATATAGAAGGTGAAATCCTGCTCCTAGCTCATCTCTCTACACTCAGTTTCGCAGGTAATTTAATTAAAGTTTTACATACTGAATGAGACTTCTGCTAGAGCATAGAAAAATCACTTGGGAGTACAGTACAAATTGTGAGGAGGTAAGCCTGTTAGTTCCAAAAGATATACAGGCACATTCCTCCTTTGCTTTCTTAACTGGGTCCCTTACCTGCTGCCCATTTGCATCATGACTGATTCATATGCAAGATTTTAACCCACGGATTTTCTGACATTCTAATCTAAACCCCAGTGATCGCTAATTTTAGTGAAGTCATTCTCCAATGATAGATTTTCTCATACCCAGGTTCAGAGTGTGGCCTGACCACCTCATCAAATGTTTGCTTTAATCCTTCTTATTGGTATTAATGTGTTTATCTGCTCTTATAGAGCCCACTTTCATTATCCATATTCTAAAGAACTGCTCAGTAACTGTTAGTATTCCTGGAACGATACCAAGGATTCCAAGGAACACTTTAGGGAACACCCAGGTCTACACCCTGGAAAAGGCTTCAGACTGGGGTATCTTCTCAATAGTTTGAACTAAGACTTGAGATCTTCAACCATCGCAGTTGGAAATTGCTCTTAAGAGAACCTGGTCCATCATTATTGACGTTCCATTACAAACTCTACTGGGAATAATTTCAAAACCACATTTCTCCACACTTTTCATTTCAAAATCTGTACACAGGTACATACAAACAATTAGAGAGCCAAATGCTTTCCAACTTCACTTTAAAAGAATCTTCTCTCACTCCCATCCTGTGGTTTAAAAAATAGCTATCAAAATGGACAGATGAAAAGATAAATATAGATCTTAACCATCTCTTTTTCTCTTAATACAACTCTCTTGACAATAGATAAAATTGTGATATATAGATATAGATACTCTGTGAAAAAATATAAGGTGCCAGGAACTCTGATTAGGAATTGGCTGATACCTCTGAAATAGCGTATCTTTTGTGGCATTAACAAATACTTATGGATAACTTCCAAAAATACCCCACAATAAACTAGTGATGAAATTTTTGACATCTGAATATATGAGTTCTAATAAACCCACTGACAAAGAGACGCAGCCCTTTGCAGAGTCTCTTTATGATGCACTTGAAATAAAATGTGGAACTATAGAAATATACCATTTCCACTTTTTCCATTAAAAAAAAAAAAAGCTTTTTTGGCTCCAGGAATTGAAGAGATTGTTAAGATGGTGGATTTGTCACTGCTGTTTCCAGGATGACTCAAGAGTTGGAAGAAAACTGGAGAGGTATGTGAGATCAGGATCAATCTGTAATTAACATTTCCCACCATAATAGCTGATGCCTGACATTTCTTCTATGATGACAGAAACGAAACCATAAAAAGCAGTCAAAAATAAAGAGGGTTAAGACTTCCCCTTTGGCCATTTCTGTCATGACCTCTGATCGCCAGGAAATAAATTAAGGAAACCATTCTGCTACCCCCCAAAAACTAGGTCTTGAATTCTGTAAGCAGACTTCATTCTCTGGTCTCCATGTTGACGCATCGGTGACTTTTGACCAATGGGGGGAAATGATCGAAACCTCCCCAGCTATATTCTTGGTGTCAGATGGAGAATTTTTCTCCCAAAGAAATATCAGAAACATTCCTACTTCAGCGAGTCAAAAAAAATCATTATCAACAGAGTTTAAACTAAATGCAACTGATGTTGTTGCTTTTGCTGGTCAAATAGAAGATGGCTGACAGTTTATTCCTACTGTGTTGCACAGCAAACACATCCCATTATTTTTTTCCCCTATGAAGCTAAATCAAATACAATAATGACTTATCAGTATTCTTGGAAGAAACATGATCAACAGTGCTTCCTCTTCTCTACTTTGTTCCCCTGCAACCGATGTGAATCGCTATGGCACTCCCACACCTATCCATCCAAGATCAAAGCTGACCAAAATTCCTTATGACTGTATATCCTGCCAAAACAAAAATGGCTTGCATATCAACATGTTGTCCATATCTAGACAAAACAAATAGGACTGGCACTGGTTTCTTTGTATACTCCTAACATGAACCTGGCTGGAAGGATCTACTTCTCTAATAATAACTAAGCTAAAAGTAAGCCAGGAAAAAAAAAGGTAGAGATGAAGTGAGATACTTGATTTATCTTGCAAAGTGGATGAACATTGGCAGCCTTCTTGACCTTGGACCATCAGATGAACTGTTATTAAAAGTGACTACCACCACAGGGGACAGATAAAGAAAGCCATATTGCCACAACAGTGTCAAATAAGGGCAACCTCTTGGAGAGGAGACCAAATAAAGCTTATATTCTCATTGCCCTCACAGACATATTTGAGGGCTGCCTGAATTTTGCAACAAGAAGCAAGTGCGACACATCAAGTGCTTGATACCAGCAAAACACCATTTGGTTTCAAAGAAAAATTCTGGCAGATCAAAGATTAATGGATGAATCTGCTTGCTATGCCATTTTCATTCTTCAAGCTGACGCGGCTTGAATCATCAAAGGGTTCTTCCAGTTAACGAAGGGACAACATAGCTGTCTAGCTGAAGTAGACCCCAAGTGCTTGAAAAAAGACTCAAGCCAGTTCTTTGGCAGGAGTAGAGGATATGGTGATGCAGAGGAAAGATTATGGCTTCTGGGGACCAGGAGAAAGGACTACAGGAGTGGAGAGTCCATCCACACTGAGTGACGGGATGTGAACCTGTGAGCTAGAATTACTGGGAAACTGAAAAGAGAAAGAGGGAAAAGCTTAGGAACTGCCTAATGATTGCGTAGCCTATGAAAAAAACAGTTTTGAAAGGGCATGATTTGAAACGTGAGTGTTGAAATACTCCATCTTCTCCCTTCCTTATTCCAAAGCTCCACACATGCATACCACATACACAAACATTGGCTTTCCAACAAAAGCCATCCTTAAAAGTAAAAAAAAAAAGCAGTAGCCTTGAAGACCTGGCTGTTCTCCCAGGCCTTAAGTTAGGATGACTGGAACCCCTTGTGAGTTTTGTTGTTGGCTAGATTTGACACCCTCCATTCTTCTTTTATCTACTTTCTTTATCTCTTGCTAGTTATATTCTTTTCTAAATATTTTTTTTAATTTTTATAGTATTGCAAACTGCCCAGAGTCATTTCTAATTGGGCAGTGAGAAATTAAATTAAATTAAATTAATTCAGAACAAAGTTAGGACTATTGGGAGCTGAAACTAATATTTTGTAATCCCACTGTTGAACACATTGTCAAGTTTGTATTGTACATTAGGTCCACGCTTGACTTGATTAAAAATAACATACAAAGAGGTCCATCAAGTTTATTTTAGAATGTTTGTATCCTTCTTGAATTACATTCCAATTGCATGGAAGCTGATATCTGGACCCAAAAATGTGGATTGCCCATGTCTTCCCAATAGCTGTAAGATTCATTCAGCATTGGAAAGGTAAGAGCTCCAATTACTCAATTGGTTAGCAAAGCTGATATTATTAGTAACTTATGAACACATCAGATCTTGACACAGATCGGCTATGGATGATTATGATGAGATATGACTATATTTTACTGATGTGCTTATGTAAAATGTTTATATATGTATAGGTATCTGGTAAAATATGCCTTATACCAAGAGTCTTCAAACTTGGCAAGTTTAAGACTTGTGGACTTCAACTCCCAGAATTCCTGAGCTAACATGACTGGAGGAGGGATTCTAGGAGTTGAAGTCCACAAGTCTTAAAGCTGTCAAGTTTGAAGACCCCTGCCATATACCAAAAACATAGCCAAGTTCATTCCCAATTCAAACCAATTCTTTATTCCATACTTGCTAACGAGGCCTGCAAACATCCCAAATATATACAGCTTTTCATGTGTTCCTTTTATGAGCCAAGCTTGACTTTTCTTCCACTCTCTCAGGAAATTATGACTTCAAATCCATACATTATGTTTGATCCCAATCTCAAGTTTTACCTTCCCCTCACAGACACCCTTTCTCTCCCCTCATAGATAATGTATATTTCAAACCATACCTGGAAGGAAAGCTTGGCTGGGCTACGTGGTGCAATGGGGCTCAGGGTACTCCAAAAATGGATGGTGGGTGGCAGGGAACTTGGGGTGAGCAGTACTGGAGTCTGCAAAGAAGATCAGAATAAAACAACAAGGATTTTTTTTAAAAAAAGAAAACTAGCAACACCCCAATTTTTCAAAACAGCTACTTATTCCATTGGCCAATTTTTCCAAGTTTGTTTTTCAGGAAGAAGACAAGGAAAGAAATTGAAGGAAAGAGTTAGAACTCTTCCTTTGCAAATATTCTCATTTTTTTACAGGTGTTAAGAGACATTTTCCTTCTCTGCATACAGAGAAGCATCAGTGCTGTGTATCAGCTTTCTACTTTGGTGTTTATCTGGTTGTATGTATTTTTAAAATCATGATTTATTATTGAAGAGACATACTTTTTTAAATTATGCATTATTATTTCACAGACATAACCATTGTTTGATAGACATTACCACTTGCAGGCTTATCATTCAGCTGCAAGCTATTTTTGGAACTTGGCAAACCATTTTTCCAATCTCCACCTCAGCAGGCAAGGTATGTACAATTGTCAGTAGACATCAACTTTCAAAAGTCACCAATACTAAATGAAGTTGGGATTTTCTAATCCTAATGGCCATTTAAAAAGCCTCTTCAGAAACATCTAGGTAAAAGTATCAGTGAAAGGACTTAACCAATAGTGTCAGACCATAAAACTATAAATTTTCACCTATCAGAGACTCCTTTCTCATATCCAGAATATCTCCTCAGATTTCTCTTGTGTCTGGTCTAGTATTCAGGGAGCAGAACTGATCCTGAAGGCCCTAGTTGTCCTACTGTGTGGGTATAGCTCTTAGATATTGGTGATGATGATGAAATAAAAATAATAATCTTGAAAGAAATTTTAAGCAATCTATTCAAATCAGGCTTGCCCCCTGCAGTTTGGAAAGCACCTCCAAGTTCTATCCCAGGTTTGGGGAACAGCTTAAAACTCAGCGGAACGTATGTTAAAACAAGAGAATGTCGCACTGCATATACATTTCATGTATGCTGGCTTGCCAGATTGCAGAGAAGCTTGCAGAGAAGAACATGAACATGTCTGGGGATAAAAATGGGTTTTGACTGCACATGTTAAACTATTCCCAAACTTTCCTTTCAGCAGGCAAAACTATGAGTATCAGCAGGCAATACTAATATACTGTAAGTATCTTGTGTATTGTGTGAATGCCTTGATTAGTTGTAGAGATCAATATTTTTGTATTCATGTAGTAACCACATTTTTTTTTATTTTCTAAATTTTAAGTTTTTTACACCAATCCAATCCACCAAACCTGTCAATGGATTATAACAGTTCACCCAAAACTGGCCTGACGGAATTTACTTGCGATATGTGGTCAACGGCACATAGAAGATTGCAACTTGGCATGTAAGAGAAGTAAATGATAAAAAGTGTTATGAAGTGAATGAAAGAAAAACTGATACACTTTTTGTATGAAAACCAAGAGAAATGGGAAAGATTTAATAGAGATGAATGAAGGTGATCTGGACTTGTGGAGTGGAGTTGCTGCATACATGGAGGTATATGCTTAATTATGAACAAAATGGCTAAAGTGTACATCCGGAAGAATGAATTGATGCCTTTTAGACTCTTTCGGAGATCTGTGAAAACAGGAATTCACAATCCTCCACTAATTTGAAAATCAATAGGAAATGCAAACTCAGAAAGCTCAAACTGCCCAAGGAGCTGCTGATCCAGTTCTACAGAGGAATTATTGAGTCTATCATCTGCACCTCTATAACTGTCTGGTTTGGTTCTGCAACCCAACAGGACAGACACAGACTTCAGAGGATAATTAGGACTGCAGAAAAAGCAATTACTACCAACCTGCCTTCAATTGAGGACCTGTATACTACACAAGTCAAAAAGAGAGCTGTGAAAATATTTACAGACCCCTCACATCCTGGACATAAACTGTTTCAACTCCTTTCCTCAAAATGACATTATAGAGCACTGCATACCAGAACAATTAGACACAAGAACAGTTTTTCCCCGAAAGCCATCACTCTGCTAAACAAATAATTCCCTCAACACTGTCCAACTATTTACAAAATCTGCACTATTACTATTAATCTTCTCATCATTCCTTATCACCCATCCCCTCCCACTTGTGACTGTATGACTGCAACTTTGTTGCTTGTATCCTTACGATTTATATTGACTGTTTCCTAGTATGATTTGATTGCTTATTGTACCCTATGACTATCATTAAGTGTTGTACCTTATGATTCTTGACAAATGTATCTTTTCTTTTATGTATTCTGAGAGTATTTGCACCAAGACAAATCCCTTGTGTGTCCAACCACACTTGGCCAATAAAGAATTCTATTCTATTCTATTCTATTCTATTCTATTCTATTCTATTCTAT